GACATCAGGAGAGAGCAGGAAAGCCAGCCAGGCTCTCCTGGCACCTCCTTCGAGTCTGGAAGGAAAAAAATCCCTGAAGGTGCCAAGGGAGTTAAAATAAATAAATATCCCTGGTGACAGGGGTAATGGGACCCTGAGCTCCTTCAGATACCGACAGTGGAGGAGCTGTGGGGGGAGCAAGGAGAGCCCTGCTGGCCCCTGCACCCTGAAATCCTCACTCCTCCCTGCACTGAGATCCCTCATTCCCCCTGCACCCTGAAATCCTCACTCCTCCCTGCACCCCCAGATCCTCCATCCTCCCTGCACCCAGCAGTCTCACTCCCCTCTGCATCCCAAATTCCTGCTCCCCGCCCCTGCCATCCCCTGCTGGACCAGACCACGTGGAACGACCCCACTCCAACATTTCAAAGCACAGGAGGCAAACCCTTATCTTCCACAGGAAAAGAATTATTTTATTAAGCATTTTTAAACAGCTACTTAACATTTACTCAAGATAAAAATATGTACAATATCCCACCTTGGAGGTGGCTCCAAAATATAAACACTGTACCTCTCCCAAGAGAAAAACGGAATATTCTTCTCTTCAAAAAAAAAAAAAAAAAAGACAACCCAGAAACAAGAATACATTCATATTTCTCACTTCTTTATGCTCAAGTAGTTATACAAATAATAGACATCTGAAACGTTTTAACTTTTAATATATTTATATAATATATATATTTATAACAGGTTTTTACAAATAAAGGCAACAACTGTATACCAAAAAAACCCAAAAAAACCAACAACAAAATAAACGTTAGAACACAATCTGCAATCAAGCATAGTGCATCTCAACAGCTGGTGCAATGGGAGGGCGACATGAGGATCCAGACAGGGGTTCTGCTCACCAGTTCTCAAACCAGTAAGAAAAAAACCACCAAAGAGCAGTGCCTTTAGCAGTGAGCTTTGGGGTTTTTTAATTAGAAAGAAGCTAAACTGGAGATGATGTTCCTCTGCGGAGAAAGCCCCTTGCAGTTTCCAGCCCAAGTGTCACACGGACCCCTCTCCCCTTAACACGCGAGCCAGGTTTGCCAGGGAGGAACCCCGATCCTGCCGGGATCAGGCTCCTCTGGAATCCCACCCTGCCGTTTTCCAAAGGCACTGTCGGGCACGGATGGCGCTGCCTCAGCTGCTCCCTGTGCCAAGGAGCTCCCGGCCGGGCAAATCGCACTCATTCCCGAGGAGCGAGGCGACAGCAGCAGCGGGAGAGGCTGGAGCCGGGTGCCACCAGCAAAGCGATCCCAGGGACAGCTCCTCCCGAGCCGGCCCGGCTAGCAGCTCGAGTTACAGGAAGGGCGCAGGTTAATTTATTTATTAGATGTACGCCATGGAAAGCTCCAAGCAGCAGCTACCTTTTATTTGTTAAAAAATATCTATGTATCAGCAAAGGTGTGGAGAGAAACCCGTCTTAGGTCTGCCTGACCTGTGTGACCAGGCAGTGACCGCTGCCCTGCTCTCCTGGTGGCATTGCCACCACTGCCACCACCACCCCACAGTGACCACTGCCCTGCTCCTGCACTCACAGTGGCATTGCCACCACCACCAGTGACCACTGCCCTGCTCCTCCTGCACTCACAGTGGCATTGCCACCACCCCGCAGTGACCACTGCCCTGCTCATCCTGGTGACACTGCTGCCCCTGCAGTGAGCACTGTCCTGCTCCTGTTCTCACGGTGGCATTGCCAACACCACCACCCCACACTCGGGGCCCCTCGGACACCAGCCCAGCTCCAATGAACCAGCAGGGCCGTTGCCTTCAGCACCGCTCAGGGAAGTACCGTGGGTTATATTTATGTATTTTATATCCACAGACCCTCCAACCAGGTCTGACCAATGGAATATTTCTTCACAGCTTTGCAATAGATTCGCAGCTGACCGAGTCAACTGTTGCTCTGTAGATGTGGAGAGGGAAGAAGGGAAGGGGTAAAGCACAAAACCCTTCTTAAACCCTTCATTAATCTTTTGGAAGTTGTTGTCAATCGCTAACCTGGGCGCATCCTTCATCCTTCTCCAAGCTACCTGACAGGTCAGAGAAAAGGGGATTTAGCTTCCTACGCACAGTGAACCTCGTCCCCACACCTCAGTCCAGCCAATATATAAAAGTGAAACAGTCTCTCAAACTAAAAAAAAAACAAAAAAAAGAAAAAAAGAAGAGAAAAACCAGTCACACTGCGCTCAGTCTTTGGTTTCCAAGTTCAAAGGAGGAATCTGCTTCAAAGCTTGAAGCAGAGCCGAGGAGTCGATGGGGGAATGGGCCGGTACAGGAGAAGGGAGTCTCTGGGGCATCAGCAGAGGGGGGGAGATTTTGTCGGGGTTCATGAAGCCCGTCAGCGCCGCGGCAGAGGCCGGCAGGCTGGGGTACAGCACGGGCACCGAGGCTGGGTACCAGCACTTCTCCAGCATGGGCAGGTAGGCGGTGGCGGACGGCGGGATCAGGTAGAAAGGCAGGCACAGGGGAGGCTGGTGAGCGTGGGGGCCCAGGAAGCTGCTGGAAGAGCCCATCATGTCACTGCCAAAAGGGCCCTCGTCCTGCGGCGACTCCAGCCTGCTCCTTTTGGCAGGCGGGTCCTCAGTCTCTTGCTTAATAGAGCTTATTCTCTCCTGGACAGTGTATTTGAGGTCGGTATCCTTTTTGAAATAGGGCTGTTCCGATTTGGAGTCACTTTTCTCCAGCTCTCCCCCGTACCCGCTGTCCGTGTCCGTGTCGCTGCCGCTCTGCTCCCCGCTGGAGTGAGCGAATGTCCGCTGGATCACGGGCACGCAGTTCTTCCCGTGGCCCTCGCCCGCCGCGCCCAGGGGCGCCGGCTTCTCCTTCAAGTCCACCAGCTTGGGAGGGATGTCCCCGGCCTTGCGGGCGGCCCCGCCCTGCAGCACCTCGCTGGCCATCCGGTGCAGGTGGCTGACCAGCTGCGACGACTTCAGCTCCTTGCCGTTCTCGTGCTTTGCCAGGTATTGCAGCATTTCCTTGGCACACATCTGGAAACCGGATCGAAACATTTCCTGGCTGGAATCAAGGTTTCTCGATGACAGGTCACCTAAGGAAACATTAACAGAAAGAAATTAAAAATTAACAACATGCTAAATAGTTCAGTTTCCATCTCTGAGGGGGAGCGGAGGCGATGTTGGACTTGGGGTACAGCACAGACAGAGGGGGACGCAATGGTCAAGCTGGACCCTGTGCACAGAAATCCCTGGATTTCTGCAGAAATGGACAATTCCATTGGAACATCCACCTGTCCACTCCTACGTAACAACTTTACATAAAGTGCCACCTGCTCTTTTTTGCTATTTACTGTATAATCCACCTTCAACAGGTACTGGAGTGCAGAAAGGGGAATGAGTCAAGCTGTGGCTCCTCCAGGAAAGCCCCCGGGGAAGGCAGGGTGCACCTTGCCGTGCTCCTCCGGGCAGGGAGCTCCCAGAGGGCCGGCAGCTCCACCAGCCCCGGGGGACTCCGCTGCTCCGGCAGCTCCACTGCACTCCCTGTGGCTGCCGGGGCAGGGACAGCGCCTCCGAAAAATTCGGGTTTACTGTATCAGATTCACGTGAGTGCCACATGTGAAAACAGCAGGAGGAAGTGCATCTAAAGCTGATAAGCTGAAGCACCGGGTCCCCTCTGCCTGCAGAGCTCAGGCCAGCTCGGTTATAAAGAAACTTGAAAAGGGGTGTATAGAAAGCAGATTTATATCTATTTCCAGAGACAAACAACCAAATAAACCCGACTGGGTTATCTAAAGCTCACAAACACAAATGGAAAGAATCGAATGGCTTTGGAGAGAACCTCAAAGCAAACCCAGGCTGTAACTAAAACTACTGAAAACCCAGTTTAATTTCAAACAACCCCCAGGGCGCTCTGCAGTGACCACCTTGAGCAACGCGTCCTTTTTTTGCAAAAGCTCATAAGCAAAGCCTGAGAAAATGACAGCAGGAAAGGGCAGAATTCCTGTCTCCTCCCTTCTCGGGGGACAAGGTGTCCCAGCCACATTTCACAGGCTCCCCAAGGAAAGTCCATCACACACACACAGGCTCTCACCCTGCCGTCTGAACACTCACCCGCCTGCAAACCGTTCTGCAAAGCAATGATCTTCTGCTGCTGCTGCTCGATGAGATTGGTCAGTGCCTTCACGTGCTTCAAGGTGAGCTCCAGAACCACAGCCTTCTCCAGGTGACCTAGAGTCTGGGAGCACAGGGACAGGTTGGCACCCGCCGCAGGCTCAGCCAGGAGCCGCCCGGGGCTGCCAGTGCCTTCCCAGGAGCCGCGGGAGGACGGGCACGGTGAGACCCGGAGCAGGCAGCACTACCAGCGGCAACATTCCATAGAAATAAGTTAAAAAGCAGGCTAGGGAAAAGGCTCTCACGGAACCGCGCAGGTACTTCCAGACCAGCCGCATGAGCTCGGAGAGAAGCGTTTTGTTTATGGGTTCTGCTGCCCCTGCTGGCACCGTGACCTGAGCCCGGGGGAGCCCGGCCGGGGACTGCTCTCGCCCGGCAGCGCTGGGAGTGGGGTCCCCTGGGATCCCAGCTCCCGCAGGGATCCGCGGCTCCCGGGGAAGTTTGGGATGCGCTTACAGCCTTCCCGGGCGTGCGGCACCGCAGAGCAAAAACAACAAAAAAAATAAAAACCCACCCCAAATCGGCGGTGAAGCGGCAGCAGAGAGCCGGCCCCGGGGGAGCCGCTGCCCCGTCCCTCCGCCCGCACGTACCGTCAGCTTGAGGTGCTCGGGCAGCAGGTCCTTCAGCTGCGCGATGCACTCGTTGATCCTGTCGCGCCTCTTCTTCTCGATCAGCCGGTGCGGCAGCTTGTAGGTTTCCTGCGGGGCCGGGCAGCGGGTCAGCGGGGGAACACCCGCACGGTCCCACCGCTCCCGTCCCGAGCGCGCCGGGGAGCGGCCGAGCCCCCGCCCCGGGAGCGCCGCCACGGCCGCGCACCGGCCGGTTCACCCCGTTAACCCCCGATTTACCCCGTTAACCCCCGGGTTACCTTACGGCCCCTCGTTTTAGCCCCTCACCCCCCATTCACCTTGTTGTCCTCGCTCCTCTTTAAGCCCCTCCGGGGTTTGTACACCTGGTACATGTGCGCGAAGTCCAGCCTGCACGGGAGAAAGGAGAGCAGCGCGTTACCCCCGTCCCGGAGCCGGCGGGGCCGCTTCCCGCGGAGCCCCCCGAACCCCCCGAAGCCCCGCTTACCCCGGCAGGTCTCCGCTCTCCAGGGCGGGCAGTTTGCCCAGGCAGCCGGGCGGGGGCTGCGCGCTGGGGATGCGCTCCATGGCGGGGGGCGCGGGCGCTGCGGGCGCTCAGGGGCTGCGGGCGCTGCCGGTGCCGCCGGTGCCGGTGCCGCTGCTCATGCCGCGCCCGCGCCGCGCGGGCTGAGGAGCGGCGGGCGGCCGCGGGCCGGGTTAAATGCGGGCGAGTGGGTGGACGGGAGCGACGTGCGGAGCCCTGTGACCGCCGGCACGTCTGGCGGCCCCGCGCCCCCGCCCCGCCGTCACATGAGCCTCACGTGGCGGCGGCGCGGGGGGAGGCGGGGCCGCCGCTCCGGCCCCCCCGCACGTGTGTCCCGGCGCGGCGGGGACGGCTCGGGCCGGGCCGGGATGGGCTGGGCCGAGCGGTGCCGAGCCGAGTCGTGCTGGGCTGTGCCATGCTGTGCCATGCTGTGCCATGCAGTGTCATAATGTGCCATACAGTGCCATACAGTGCCAGACTGTGCCATACAGTGCCATACTGTGCCATACAGTGCCAGACTGTGCCAGACTGTGCCATACAGTGCCAGACTGTGTCATACAGTGCCAGACTGTGTCATACAGTGCCAGACTGTGCCAGACTGTGCCATACAGTGCCATACAGTGCCAGACTGTGCCATACAGTGCCATACTGTGCCATACAGTGCCATACTGTGCCAGACTGTGCCATACAGTGTCATAATGTGCCATACAGTGCCCACTGTGCCATACTGTGCCATACAGTGCCATACTGTGCCAGACTGTGCCATACAGTGCCATACAGTGCCATACAGTGCCATACAGTGCCAGACTGTGCCATACAGTGCCATACAGTGTCATAATGTGCCATACAGTGCCCACCGTGCCATAAAGTGCCATACTGATCCA